CTGGCCTGAGACAAAAATCAGATCCAGCGTGTGTCCACCCGTGTGAGTGGGGGCCTGAATTAATTGGGTCAAGTCCAAGGCCGTCATGGAAGCCAAGAACTCCTGAGCTGCCGCTGACGTCTCACCCACTGATGGCAGGTTGAAATCCCCCAAGACCATAAGTCTGGGGGTTCCAACCGCCACCCCGGCTATCACGTCAAATTAAACAAATATAATTGAACTTTTCCAAAATTGTGTAACAAAAAGTCTACAGAATCCCTCTATGGTGCTACTAGGGCTGTGATTTTTTTTCTTTGCATCTTCTTTTTTTTAAGCCTATAAATCAGTGTAATTTTAAATAGCTGCTGCAGTGCTGCTTCCTCCACATTTGCAATACAAATTCTTGCAAAATAAATTGTATTTCCTGGAAGGGTACAAGATGACTCAATGTTCCAACACTTTACAAGAACCAGGGATGGGTTTGTGATTTTATGAAGAATCCTATACTGGATTGGCAGTTGTTTTTGGTTTAGACTGCAAATTTCATCCCACAGTATAAATGGATAGCATTTGTCATATGTTGATTTATTTCAATACTCACATCAGGGTTGTCACACCCAATCATTTCTCCATAAGATACTTGATGGCACAAGCAGTATGTGGGTTCATTGGGATCCACTGGCATGTCTAAGACATCAGAAGGGTGAACTGACAGGATGGTATCAGCTAATTCAGATCTGCAATGATATAAATTCAATGGAACTGGGTGAATGTCAGTGACTCAGTAATTCAGAAGGTAAGAGTTTGTCATTAATTAGAAGGGGTTCAAAAATTGAAATATTAAAAAGTTGTTGTATCCATACCAGTCAGTTCACAAGGAAATTTAGAAACTATTTTTGCTGTTCAACTAGCACACTTATTCTCACTTTCAATCAGATATAGCAATCCATCAATCAATTATACATCAACATGAGAAGCTGCCACTCCCAGAGTAAAAAATGCTCCTTAGCTCCCATTCTTTGAAACCAGTAAACATAGGGTTATTTTTCAAAAATCCTAAACAAGTAACAACTATAGAAATAACTTCTTTCCTTACTGAAATTCTAGTAAAGATGGTAGTCTTTCTCACTTGTAACCATTTAAATAAAAATAAATGTGCATAAAAGTGGTGTGATGAGCAGAAAGCGGGTGCGCTTCAAGGTGTAGGAACAACTTTTAAAGCGCTCCATGGCAATGGACCTAGGTATTTGCAAGACCGCCTCCTACCAAACACCTCCCTTCGACCAGTCCGCTCCCACAGAGAGGGCCTCCTTAGAGTGCCATCGGCCAGACAATGCCGGCTGGCGACCCCCAGGGGGAGAGCCTTCTCTGTGGCAGCTCCTGCCCTCTGGAATGACCTACCCCCCNCTCCATGGCAATGGACCTAGGTATTTGCAAGACCGCCTCCTACCAAACACCTCCCTTCGACCAGTCCGCTCCCACAGAGAGGGCCTCCTTAGAGTGCCATCGGCCAGACAATGCCGGCTGGCGACCCCCAGGGGGAGAGCCTTCTCTGTGGCAGCTCCTGCCCTCTGGAATGACCTACCCCCCGACCTACGTACAGTTGTGGACCTGCGCCTTTTTCGCCGAGCCCTGAAGGCCCATCTATTCCGTAGCGGCCGGCCTGGCGTAGTTTGATTATGTTTCAGTGGGGGTTTTGTATGGGGTGTTTTTAGAGCAGGCCTGTTATTTAATTTGATTTTACAACAGAAACTTGTGTATATTTATCGTGGTTTTTAGTATCGCCTGTTCACCGCCCTGAGTCCCGTAAGGGAGATAGGGCGGTATATAAATTTAATAAATAATAAATAATAATAATAATAATAATAATAATAATAATAATTATTATTATTATTATTATTATTATTATTGTTACAATGAAACAGAAGCTGTACAGTGCAAATATTAATTTGAACATTGCAGATAAGTTTTTAAATAGTGCTTTTTGAGTAATAGTCAATAGAGAAACAATAAGTTGTTTGATTTCTCTAATACCATGAATTGAATAGAATAATAAAGATTTACAATCAAACCAAAAGTCAGAACAAGTCTTGCCAGACTAACTCTATTGTGTTTTTAATCAAGAAACATCCTTAATAAATTGTGAGCATGTTGTGGATTCTATATCATGATTTCAGAAAAACATCTGACAAAGTATTCCATGATATTCTGATTAGCAAATTGACAAAGTCTGGATGGGTTAACAATTAAGTGGCAATATCCTTTCTATTTCTCAACATTTTTATTAAGGACTTGAAAGAAGAGATGAGAACATGCTTAACAAGCCTGCAGGACAAAACAATATAGTACAAGTAGTCCTTGACTTACAACTGTTTTAGTGACCAAAGTTACAACAGCACTGAAAAAAGTGACTTATGACCGTTTTTCACATTTATGACCATTGCAGCATCCCCATGATCACTTGAATATAAATTCAGATGCTTGGCAACTGACTCATGACAGTTGCAGTGTCCTGGGGTCATGTGATCACCTTTACCATCTTCTGACAAGCAAAGTCAATGGGGAAACCAGATTCAGTTAACAACCGTGTTACTAAATTAACAACTGCAGTGATTCACTTAACAACTGGAAAGAAAGGTTGTAAAATGGGGCAATCACTTAACAACGGCCTCTTTAACATCATAAATTTTAAGCTCAATTGTGATCATAAGTTTAGGACTACCTGTATTAATAACGCCTCAAAGCCAGAAATAAAATTTAACACAATATTAATAAACAAGAAAAGTTCAAGATACTGGAATGAGTTCAGAAAGGCTACGAGAAGGATCAAAGGACTGGGAAAGTAAATTCTATGAAGAGAGACTATTTTTCTATGTTTTATTCTTTAGAAAAAAAAGACAGAAGATGAACTAGACAAGTCTCTACAAATCCCTGGAAGAACATTCCAGGACACAAATATGTATGATCTTATGTTTAAATGTAATTATCAACTGATATTTTTCAAAGATGATACATAGCAGAAAGATACTATCCTCGGGTTTTTGAATAGCTTAAACATTTTTTCTGTACTGTTTTGTCTTGCTCCCACTCATAAATTCATGTCACCCAATAAAATTATTCTCTTCCACTATAGTCACAAACCTATGGTTTTCCACTTTAATATGCATCTGCAATCATCTAGATGATGCTATTGGTTCCTTTATGATACCTACACGGTTTCATTCATAAACTTACAATTTCATCTCCCCATTGTCCAAGATCAGACCACCTTCATTCAGATAATTACATAATTATCAACGTTCTTTCATTCATGTTACTCCTTAATGCTTGCTCTTTATCATTTATTCCTTCTACATTCCAAACTGCAATCTTCTATAAACTATGGTCATCATCAGACTCGCCCACAGACATTAATCTTTGCTGCCCACCATGGCTTTGGTCAAAGCTTTCACATGACTTCTTTAGGCAACCCCTGAGAATGTGTTTTTCTTCCATCTCACATAATCCACTTGCCATGCCTCAGATTAGGCAGGTAGAGACAGTCTTTACCCAGGAGTACTCCTTTGTGCTTGCTGTAGTTGGGGAGCAGGGAAGAATAAGGGTTTCCCCCTCCCCTCTTCTGCTGTCTCCCTCTTCCTCCTAGCCCATTGCTTTTGCTTCCTCTGTTCCTTTTCTTTTCAATGCATCTTCCCTTACCTCTAACCTTGCTGGAAAGTACCTCAGCCATGGTACTCTCTTGGCCTATTTCTCTATGCATCATGTGAAAGTTTTCTGATAAAAAATACCATTTTCCTGCCAGATAGCTTTGATCTGGTTTCAACTTGCCTTACCAAGCCTTACCAAAGGCTGGGACCAAAATGGAGGTCTACTATGTCCTCAACAAAAGGAAAACAAGCCATTTTGGAGTTGTGGTTAAGAGTAAAGTCTAGATCAGGGGTGTCAAACTAGCAATGTCACGTGACGTATCGCGACTTTTTCTCCATTGCCGGCAATCGGGTGGGTGCGGTTTCGGCATGATGCATTCGGCCCGCGGGCCAGCAGTTTGACATCCCTGGTCTAGATGAACCCCTCAATGACACTTGTGTCACATAAAGTATTTCCTGCTAAAGGTACTAATTAGTTTGGGCACATTTTGCCCATATGCTACAACTGCAACCAATGCTCAATTTTTACCCCAAGCTCACCGGCACTACCCTCTCTGAGCTAGGATATCTAAACTAGGGACTGCTATTCCCAATAGTTATTATCTGTTCATTCTCCAACCCTTCTCCAGATTGGGTGTTTTTTTAAACCCATTCGAAGCCAGTCTGGGAAGAGATGTGATCTCTTCCCAAAACCGAAGGCAAAAAACAAAGGCAAAATGGAGTTTCCCTTCTCTCTTTTTAAGGCCTACCTGGAAAAGAACTTTCTTGCTTTTGACTAGTGGTTGGCTTCCTATGTTTTATTCGTTTCTGTCCATTCTCAAGACTGACAGATCCAATTTGAATAATCTTGAAATCTTTTGTGTTTCCTTCTCACTAAAAGCTACAATTCAAAACATACTTATTATAGAATACTTTCATGGACTCTGGAATGAAAATGTGATTCTACTGCAAGTTGACTTTGGGAGGGGGGAGTCCAAACCCAAGAACTTTTTGCCTATGGTTTATACTAATTTCTAATTTCTAACCTTCGTTTTGGTTTCTTTTTCACTGGAGCATCTTCCTCTGATGTCCGCCGGCCTCGACCACGAGATGTTTTCTTATCCTTTGGAATTCTCCCCTCTGAAACACAAGTATTTTTCATTAATTACATTATTTAGGAAAATAGTATGATTTTTATTTTTAAACGTGTGTACTAATATCACAGGAGTCTTTTCTCCAATGCCATTTTCAATTGAGTAATCTCATCCAGGCAAGGAGTAAGCTTTTTTTATAGGGCTGTCATAAGGCACTTCCTCAAGGCCACATTAATACACTTTCCTCCTCTCCAATCATAAAGGAAAGCATATTATATAAATCAAGCTGCTCCTATAGATTATTGCACCAAAGCAATGGGATCAGGCACTGCCGTTACCTTGACGCTAATATGGTATAACTTCAGAACAGTGTCTGGTAGATTCCCAAACCCTTCTCTTCTCCTACCCAGCATCACCCACTGGCAGGACATCAAATACAAATTGGTGCAATGAGTAAGGCTGAGGGATTTAATCTATAATTTTACTGCTTGCTTGCTTGCTTGCTTGCTTGCTTGCTTGCTTGCTTGCTTGCTTGCTTGCTTGCTTATTTATTTATTTGCTTATTTATTTATTTATTTATTTATTTATTTATTTATTTATTTATTTATTATTTTTATTATTCATTGCTTGCTTCTTTTAACAAACAGATTCTGCAAGAATCCTGATGATCTCTAGAACACAGTTTCTCTCAAATTGTTTCAGGGACTATTACTTCCTTGGCAGATCAGGAGTCCTGTTAAAGCAGGGGTAGTCAACCTTGCCTCTTTTATGACTCGTGGACTTCAATTCCCAGAATTCCTGAGCCAGCTTAGCTGGCTCAGGAATTCTGGGAGTTGAAGTCCACGAGTCATAAAAGAGCCAAGGTTGACTACCCCTGTGTTAAAGGAAGATAGATATGTCTAGTTCCAACAACTTCTCTTCACAAAATCTGCCTAATAGAAAGTATCAATTTGAAGTACAGGTAGTCCTTGACTTATGACCACAATTGAGCCCAAAATTTCCATTACAAAGCAAGACAGTCATTGAGTTTTGCCCCATTTTACAACCTTTCTTGCCACTGTTGTTAAGTGAATCACTATAGTTGTTAAGTTGGTAGCACGGTTCAGTGAGTCTGACTTCCCCATTGAGTTTGCTTGACAAAAGATCGTAAAAGGTGATCACATGACCCCAGGATACAGCAATAGTCATAAATATGAGCCAGATGCCAAACGGCCAAATTTGATCACATCACCATTGGGATGCTGCAACAACCTTAAGTATGAAAAACGGTCATAAGTCACTTTTTTCAGTGCCATTGTAACTCTGAACAGTCACTAAACAAAAGTAGACATGGCAAATCAGAAAAATTGCATTCCTGGATCTTTCTCATTTTTCTCTCCCGAGGACAATTTCTCATAAATCATTTTTGGTCAAATAAATAGTTTTTTCTTTCTCCATTCCAGTATTTAAGTGTAACGATAATTATATCATCAATCATACACTTCCTCATATTCCAAGCTTCTCCATACACAAATATGTGTACACACCCCAAGGACCAAGATTGATGGCTTAGACTGATTTAAAAAATTAATTCAAGTTCTAAAGGTTCTATTATCTTAGTCACAATATCCATACTTTTTAAGGTTTGTGTCACAGGGCTTTCAAAATCATTGCCTTCCAACTTATCCTTCAAGTCAGCTTCAAATCGGGCAAGGTCAGCATCCAGCCGTCGAATGTGCTTGTCCACCTGAAACAGAGACAGATACACCACTGAGCTGAAGAAAACAAATTTTCTTAAATAGTATTTTAATTCTAATTAGACTCCTTTTCTGTAATAAAATGTTAGAAGTTTGGGTATACATGTTTAGAAGGTAAAACAAGAATAGGTTTAAAGTACAAGGAAGCAGGATTTTGATTGGATATCAAGGAGAATTTCCTAATCATAACAAACCGTCTCAAGAGGCAGCACACTCTCCTTCACTGCAAGGATATAAAAATAGCCAGAATGGCTCTGATGTTATAAATAAGGGATTCTTAAACTAGAT